GGGTCTTCGTTTTAGTCCATAGGGTCTTCGTTTTAGTCCATGGGGTCTTCGTTTTAGTCCATAGGGTCTTCGTTTTAGTCCAAGGGGTCTTAGATCTTAGGTCTTCGTTTTTGGGTCTTCGTTTTAGTAACACCCGAAATTGTATGACCACACTCATCAGGCAACTTCAACGATTGACCGTTAAAATTAAAAGCTGGCAGTAAAATATAGGGATGCGTTAAGAGATAGTATCTAGGTAACAGATGGATTGTGTCTTAGTTACGTTACTCTAGAGTTCTGAAGTACATATCTGTTTCTTTGGGGGCGTGAACTCGCTAGTTCGTTTCGCCTGTTTAGGCTACAAAGCTCTAACGAGTTCATATATATTTTTACCAATATTTCGGAAGGCACGGCCTTCCATTGGCCTTCCTTCTTCAGGGTCTTGCATTCAATGTGTCGTGCAGTTTTCATTCTCACCCCTCCTCCCTATACAATTAATGTTGAAACTAAAAGAAAAAGGATTGCCGAAACCCGTGCACGTGAGGGATTCAACATCGTAAATGTGGGGAAGGAGCTCAAGTAAATGCCCTACTTGCAAATCGTAGGCGATAAGATACTGGGGACTACAATAGGTTGGGGACATACTGTGACTTCCTACATGGAAACCTACATGGACTGTGACCAAAAATAATAATCAAAGATGGCTGAAGGAGGATTGTGAATCCACGAACTTAGGGCTGTAGGAGTAAGTATTCAGTGGGTTTGTTTTGCAGCTTTGAGATGTAAATGCTGTCCAGGAACAAGCTCAGTTCCGTCGATACTTGTCATGAATGGAGTTGTTACTCATCTTATCTTTTCTTGTTGGTGTCTGGATGAACTGGTCATTTGCTGTTTGCAGTAAGCCTAAGTGGAACGACCTTTACGCCTTAAGAAATCTCGTTGGCTTTCAGTTGACTGCAGACTTGTGCAACATTTTGACGCATCTGTTATTGCTGCTTCCTTGGCCTTTGTGGGGATATATTATCAACCCTGGAAACTACTTATGGACGGTAAATCCTCTTATCTGCAGACTATTCATGGTTGTGGAAGAAACAATTTCTATTTCCTGTGCAGCCAATGCAACCTGTATTTTTTGGACAAATGTTGAGAACCATGATTTAAAGCAGGAGAGGAAACGAAAGATAGCCTCGTGCATGGTGTTGGTGACTTTGTTGCTGGGTGGCCTGTTTGCAGTTGTTTACACTGAACTCATTCCTTTGCTTAATTATAGAGACATGAACGTTTCAAACTGTCCTTTGCATCCTCTTTCAATTCTTGGCGATCAGAAAGAGCTTAAATACGTCTTTGTTGGATATGTGGGATGTTCAACTATTATATTTTGGAGCACAGATGATAAAAGTAAGTCCCATTTCACAGAGGAAAAACCAAACAACAGTGTCCATGCTCTTGTCAAGGTTTTGTTCATAGTGTGCTACTACTCCACAATCTTTGCTCTTGTGTTTGCCATTATTTGCATACCAATCAATTTTCTGGGAGGTTCATTATACAGTGTTACATTTAACAAAGTTAAACTACGTTTTGATATCATCATATTGGCAGTAAGCATCATTCTCCCAGCATTGTTGGCACACATCCATGCTTCTGAAAATACTGGCAATAAAGGCTACTCTATGGAACTATCTCATACAGAGAGAATGCCAGGCCTTGAGCAAAGACACATTAAAATAGGAATGAATAATAATGGTAAAAAAACTTAACATAACAATATAAAGGACCCAGTCAATTCCAAGTGCACCCAATCCCACCACCCCCCCCCCCTCACTAGTAGGCATTTGATGGGCTCTGGTCACATTGTGTGTTCCTACTGTGTTTTAATGGTGCCAAGTTACAATCTATTTGGTTTTGCAGTGAGGGAGGTAGACTGCAAAACAGTCGGTTTTTTTCCCCAAAATCGGTAAAGAAATCAGTAAAACATGGCGGGTTCTATTACTCTACTTATTGACACATTTCAGTATCAGTGTTTTGAGGTGGTGGTCCCCTCTTTGGAGAGAAAGGTACAGTCGATTTCTGATAATACAAACCTTCCAGGGAAATTGAAAAAAGTTCGAGCTATCGGGAGTTTGAGTTATCGAGGGTAAGATTATATATAAAATTGTTTAAAGGGAAATGAAAATTTCTTCGAGTTAGTGGGAGGTTCAAGTTATAGAGGGTTTGAGTTACCAGGAGTCAGCTGTATTGTTACCAGGATAACTGGGCATTGCTAAAGCAGAACCCTGCCAATGGTGACTCGAAGTGATTCTGCTTTGCACCGACCTTTCTACGAAGTAAAGGAAAGCTTCACTAAGAACCTTACTTGAGAATGTACATGGCTACACAATGTTTGAATAGGAAAGGAACTGAATATAGGGTAACATTTAGATAAAATCAAAAATATACTTCACAGAACCATCATGGTTTAGGCATTGTGGATTCAGAAACCAAATAACTTCATGGATAAAATAAGTTACTGTAAATCAATGAC